CTGCACGTGTGTGTGTGTGTGTGTGTGTGTGTGTGTGTGTGTGTGTGTGTGTGTGTGTGTGTGTGTGTGTCTGACAGTTAGTCATCATGTGCTCTCTGAATATTCAAAGACACATTCTTCCTTTCAAAGTCCTAACACTGTTTTGACTCTGGAATGCGAAATTACCCATTTGCTGAGCAAAACAGACATGATGATCTAAAAAGAAGCATGTAAATGCACACAGTCCTAAACTGATTCATAAGCCAAAGAAGATGATCAAGTGTGTCTCTAGAGTGTGTTTATGAGTGTATCCATCAGGTTTTGGCTATATTACAGGGACCAAATGTCCCCAAGAGGATAGTAAAACCTTAAATCAGGAACCAGTCGGGCAAACAATGGTCCGTGTAAGAAAAATCACTTAATTCATAAACATACATTAAATAATTGTTAATGAACATATAAAAATGCTGATTGATTTGCATCAGGGTTAGGAAATGGAAAATATCATTAGATTAGTATACAACAGTAGAAGTCAATGGAAAGACCCCACTAATGTGCGAGTGCGGCTGGCAGATCTTCTTGAATGGCAAAATGCCCTTTTGTCTGCGGGTAACCAAATGAACAGACAACAGGAGTGAATTAGCATTCGCATTAGTATTCCAGACTTAAATTCACTATTTCAACTGAGAGTTCACAGGTGCGGGTGCGGCGAAAGGCAAAACAAACACAGAGTTAAATATGAAATCCTCTGTGACAAGGTGACGTTTCTGTTCATTCGCCGTGCTTTGATTGTTTAACGTTTGTTTTGCCACCACATGATTTTAAACTGTATACAAAATGTGATCTGCAAGTTGTTTGACTGACAATAATACATTAATAAAATTGTAATTGACAAAAAGCACCCAGATTAAAATGATCGACTGATAAGTTCATAATAATATTAAAAAAGAATGCTGTTCGATATCAGCATGACGTGCTTATTTTCAGACCAACACACAAAAGTTCAACAAACAATATTGAGTAACTTACATTTTAGACACAATATTGTCGGTTAGTTTGGATATATTTGTGCTCCACCAACAAATATAGTTCTAAACGAATCAAGCCATGGGTCTCCAAGAAATGCAGTAGCAGCGTTCATGAATGAATCAATGTGATTGAACTAATCTGTTGCATGAATGATTCAATGACTCGCTTGCTTACAAAGGTCACTTGTTTGGTTCCTGAAGGATTTGTTGTTTTTGAATGAATCAAATGACTGGATGAGTGAATAAATTACTCACTCTATCAACATCACTTGTCGCCACCTATAGATCTAACATGTAACTGATATAAAAAATAAAATAACTAATTGTGTTCACATTCATTTGTTCATGTTAACTTCGTTACTTTACTAGTTACTTGAAAAAAGTAATCTGATTACGTAACTCGCGTTACTTGTAATGCATTACCCCCAACACTGCAAATAACTATGTGCATTCAACTTCTTAGCTAGCAAACAGTCAGCTTATTAGCAGTCTAGTTCATTTCAATGGTGACAAAGATGTAGATTTTTGATTCACTACTTAAAATTGCAGTCACATTTACCACTGTTCAGCGAATTTTTGTTGATGAAATCCAGTCATTTCAATAGGAATCCAAATAATCATGAATTTTGTGTTGAACAACAGAAAACTGCTTGTTTTGAAAGTGACTTCTGTTCAAGCTGTGATTTATCCATCACTACACTATTGAAAATAGACAATTTTTGTGCTGAAATTTTACTCAAATGTAACCACACCTTAAGTAAGTTAGCGGAACATTGAAGTTTAAGGTACTGTGTACTGAGGAAAAAAAAAACATCAACTAGCCTACAGTGGTTTACTAGTCTTAAGGCTGATTTATACTTCTGCGTCAGACCTACGCCGTAGGCTACGTGTCAGTTTTCATTTATACTTCTGCGTCGACGTGTAATTACACATGCAGACCGCTAGTCTGCAGTGTCCACGGGCATGTTGCTGGTGTAATCCACAGTATCAAGGCAAAAGCCGAAGAAGAAGCAGCTTGTCAGAGAAGCAGTCATGACGGCGGCAAATAAATATCCAAGAACAGATAATTAATTTACAACTACAAAAAAGGAGATGACAATGGAACTGGAGAAGATGGCACTCTTACAATCTCCACAAGGACTTGTACCATGGCAAAACAACAGCGGACAACTAAGTGATGTATAATGCTATGTTG